TAAGGCATCCAAAGATATTAAAGTAACAGGGGTCTTTGACAGGTTGGAGTAATGAACTATATTCAACACTCTTCTAACAGCATCTGTTAATCTTCGTCGAGGCATGAAACCAACTTGATCGCATTCAATATATTCAGCAATGAATGAATTAATTCTATTAGCTAGTATTGAAGTCAAGAGTTAGATGTACATAAAATACAAACTCCATTAATGTTTGCGAAGGCATACTGTTATGTGAACAATAATAAAAATCTGGGATTATTAGCTAAAACAGTTTAAAAAAGGAGCAGCAAGGTTGTTTTCTGCCCAAGGTCACCCAGGGGGTTTCCATGGCTAAGCCGGGAATCAAACCCTGGACTCCAGAGTCAGAGTTAAATGCTCAAACCACTATACCACACTGGCTCTCTAATTTCCACCATTTGGTCTTCACATCATACTTTACCTTCTCCTTGGCAGGACGTGGGTCTTTCTCTTCGGAAACTCGTTGGCAGTGTGGATGACATCCTTCCGGCTCTGCCTTCATCGTCACGCACCGAGGTGGGCATCGCTTAGGAGTGCCTTCTCTTCCAGTGGCAGACACAGCTTTAATGTCAACGGTGTGAGGAATCTGTTTGGGGTTTTATTCCAGATTTTAAGAGAGAGACGTACATAGGTTCATGTGGTTAAAGTGAAAATTGGGTCAAGATGTGATTCTTTTAAAGAATTTTTTTAAAGAATTTAGTTATACCCTTTGTCCTATGCCAGGGGTAGGCAACCTTTCCCCTTTAAGGGCCGAGGGACTTCAGCTCCCAGAATCCCAGGAGCTATTGGCCAACATGGGACTATTGGCCAACATGGCTGAGGCTTCTGGGAGCTGAAGTCCCTCGACCCTTAAAGGGGAAAGGTTGCCTACCCCTGGTTTAAACACGTTGATCGATTGTTATTACCGTAGTTAGGATTCTATAGATTGTGTGTTAATAAGTAAGAGAAAGGATAAGAGTTATAGTAGTTAGGTAAAAGGTCAATAATGATTTTCTCATGCACAGTTTGGGGAGTTTTTGTGACTTGGGTCACTATGCTGTTTTATGTTTCTGATCTATGTATATGATAGAACATACATGTCGTTGGTTGGTTGGTTTTTAAATTGTTAATAAAATTTAAAATAATAATTTAAAATTAAAAAAAAAATTTAAAAATCTGGGGCCTCTCCTTTCTCTTCCCACTGACCCTCACCCCGCTGACACCATCTGTTCAGCATTTGAAAGGGAGGCAGGCAACTACCACAGGCCATTTCTGCCCAAAGGCAGATGTTTGGGGAGCACCCCTTAGGTGCAGCCCACACACCCCACAGCACCCTAGTGATTCCCCCCTGGTACTAACTAGGGCTGACCCTGCTTAGCTTCCAAGATCAGACAAGATCTGGTGCCTTTAGGACAGGGGTCGGTAACCTACGGCCCACGGGCCGCACCCAGCCCGTTGAGGCCTGCCAACCAGCCCCTGCCCGGTCTTGCCGCCAC